TAATTAAAAGTCAGTCAACCAACTGATGCCGGATGGCTCGGTTTTGCACTTGTGTCTAAACCTTACGTGTGTAAAACTTTATTTTGTTCACAGATGACAACAAAACTCAGTAAACACAGAATTTAAAAATACATAGCAGTAAATCGCGCATAGCTCCATTTACAGGTTTGACTAAAACAACTACAACTCTATCACTTCTTATCATAAGATGATCAAAGGCTATGTTCACACTGCAGGCAAAAGTGGGCTAAATCAGATTTATTATTATTATTTTTTTGCCCATTTTCACCTCGTATCAGCTGATGACTGAGAGATATTACCAAGCTGAAACATCTTGTAAGGTCCTCTGTACTTGCTCAGGTTCTTCAGAAAACTTACTTTTTGGGTCCAACRTAGGATCATTAAAGTCCAATTGTATTCTCAGTTGCCATTTAACAAAACCAGCTATATAACGTTCTTCTTTTTTTTTTTTTTTTTTACAACAAAATACAACATAAATAGGAGGAAAGATAATAATTTAGTCAGTGTTAATCTTAATCCTGAAGCTCAACATTTCTGCCGGGTTTTGCCCATCAGTCACTCATGGGATGAGACCGGAAACTAACAGTTTGTAACTCAAAGGTGATTATAGTCCACTATCATGAAACCAACTTGAATCCTTTTGGTAGCTTGGTGGTCTCGTGATCCTGAGGCTGCCGCTGCAGGTTTGATCCCATGTCGTATCAAGAAGAGCATGTGGAGTAAAATGATTGTGAAATCTTCCATGCGAGTTTGCTCGCTGTGGCAAAGCTGAAGAAAAACAACACGCTTTTCTAAAAAAAATCTTATTATTATGGCGTTTTAATATATTTTAAATGATGTAGTAGTTTTATGAAAGTAAAACAGATTTTCCTGATGCCCAGTGAGCTGTGAAGTCTGTAGGCTGAGAGGGAATGTGTGGGTGGGGTAACAGCAAAACACAGAGGCAATGTGCAGTGGGACGTGTAGAAACAAGGCCTGAAGTTAGACAAAGTTTCTCCTCCAGCAGTTGAATGGAATAAAATGTGTTCTGCTATCTGAGTTCACTGTGTCATTCTTTTTTATAATATACAGTGTATTCATGTTGTCGAACCTTCCTGTTCTTTTTGGGCCATTTACCAGTGAGACAGTCTCCTTCATCAGTCTGAGTAAAACTATGTTGTTTTGGTTTTGTTCTGAGCAGGTCTGTGCTTCCCCCTACTGTCCACCTCAGGAATGATAAACTTCTTCAGGAAAATATTGATTTGATGTGATTCTGACTTGGAAAAGTCAGGTCACAATGAAATTAGCTAAAGTGTGGAGTATGCATAGACTTGAATGAGATCACTAGACTGAGCCCCGCCCATCTCGTCCACTGGTAGYRTCTGTGACAACATGGAGGAGCAGAAACAGACCAAACAGGACAACAGCTCACAGCCTCCATAGAAACTAATGGATAAACAGCAGCTGAACTGGATCTGTTTCACAGATTATCTGTCATGTTTTTACAATAAATTAATAATTATGTTAATTTCATTCAACAATCATGTAAAACAGCAGATTTATACCAGAAAAATATATAATTTATAAGTAACAATGATCTAAACCAGACCTGAAGTCAGCCTGCAACTTAGACTTTAGCTAGTTGAAAAATGATGACTTCAGCTAGTAATGAAGTATATTTAATATTTCTTCTTACGGTCATAAAAAATAAGAATAATAAATATTTACCAGTCAACAGAAAATCTCTGTATATATGCTCTCTACCTGTTATAGGATGAAACTTGTCTCTATTACTCAACCATCTTCTCAACAGGTCAGGTTCCTCTGACATAAACCTAAAAATACTCACATAATATTATTTTACAGTGTGTACGTCTAAATATTAATCAGAGGACAAAGTAATATTTAATAGTTTGTGTTAGTGATTACATGGACTTTATAAGATTATTTTAATTTTAAACTGTTACATTATGTTCTGCTCAAATCACATTGAGCTAAATAAGATCAAATCTGCTGACTTGTGTTGTAAAATGAGACGTTTTCCTGTTTATCTTCTGTTAATAAATCCAGAACACAAACAGCTTTTCTGACATTATTTAAAACATTAGATTGTATAAACTGTAAAATATTAATAATAATTGGGTTAATATTATTAATAGTTTTAATGATTTCTACATCGTCAGTCCTTTATTTTCTGCCCTGTTGTCAACATGTACAGTAATGAGAAATCCAGAGTCTTGACCATTTTGCGTTAGCCGTTAGCTTCACCAGCCGATCACATGGTCAGCTGGTTTCTGCGCACTCCAGCTGTTCTATAGAACCTTCTTGTGATTATATGTGTTTATTAGTACAAATAGTATTTCTTGTTTTTATTCATTTATTGTAAGCACAGGAMATTCTGACAGTATGATAACCTTGAGCAAAAATACCAATTTTATGATATTAATGCATCACGTAATTTACAGTACTTGCTTTCATTTATACTATTTTTACCTTTGCTGCCTGAAAAATACTAGATAATGCTACATTACATAACCCTCAAACTGGACTCAACCACGGTTGAGCAAATCCAGTACAAAGGTGTGAAAATAATATGACCCTATCAGGCCCGCACATGGTTATTCCTGTATATCATAATTAYTTTTTTGTTTTAGTCGTTCTTCTAGTAGTAGCTTTTTTTGTGGATTACTGCAACAATTGTAGCAGATAAGATGCACTCTTTACACTAATTTATTTCAGGTAAACAAAAGCACCACCCTCTTTGATTCCCAGCTTCTGAACAGGCATCAAGTTTCTCTTTGACATCCTACAAAGCAGGGGACAGTTCAGAGGTGTCCTCAGAGACAGTCAGGGACAGAAATAACAAGTTTAGTCAGCCTAACTAGCTGTCAGAGGAGTAAAGATGGGTAAGTTTGAGCTGATTTGTCGAGGTTTCAGTCTGCACAAGTAGTTAAGGCATAAGCCACTTACCATTTTGCCATTATATTAATTCAGATAATTTGGGATATATGTTTGGATTTTTACATGTAAAGGCAGAAATATAAATGTTGTGTAACTGAAGTCCTGGGTGTGGCGAGGTAAGGGCTAAATAGAAAGAATGGATTCTTTATGTGTGTGGGTTCAGGTGTGTGTGTGCGTGTGGGACTTTCGATGCAGTGTTTCAGATGCTGTTTGTGTGTGTGTGGAAGAGTGAGATAAGAGTCCTGAAGGCACAATAGCAGCTGTCTTCAGGGCCTTGACACAGTAATGTGTGTGCAGCACCCACGTCCACATTCCCCTGAGGCTGGATGTAGGAGGCGTCTCCAAAGCATCCGGAGGACATCTCTGTGAAGCTTGAGACTGCAGAGCAAGGTTTTCTGTGAGACATGAAGGAAAAGAAGAGGAGACTGGAAGCTGAAAACATAAAAAATGAAAATAGGTACTGTGAGTGTGTGTGTGTGTTTTAGAGTTGAAATATATTTATTGTAAAATTTTAAGGTTTTGTGGTGATACTTTGGAACTATTGATGTTAGTGAGTTTTTTTTTTCCAGTAAAGACAGAGTCTTGTAAAAACAGGGTGTTGGAAATCTGTTGTACAGGGTGGGCCTAATAAAATAAGCAATCATATTATTAATTATAACTGTGTGACCTTTCTGAGCTCAGAAGTTGAAATGGTCCAATCAGAGTATCTAAACAGAGTAAAAATGATCTGACTGGAGCAGATACTTTCTGATTCCCTTCTTGTTTTTTTTTAAATAAGAATAAGAATTAAAAAATCAGCGATAATTCCAGTTCAGTAATATTATTTTGCTTTTTCTGGGGCATAAAATGTTTCTAAAATATTTGGATCAGCAACAAATAAAATGAAACACAAACTGGGCTTTAGAAAAAAAATTAACAATAAAAAATAAAAGGTTTCTTTTAAATGTCCTGATGCATCTCAGTAATCCAGGTAAAAAAATCAAAAAGAAAAAAATTGTATAGG